TTTTTTTAGAGACGGGGTTTTCACCATGTTGGCCAGGATGGTCTCGATCTCCTGACCTCGTGATCCGCCCACCTCAGCCTCCCAAAGTGCTGGGATTACAGGCACGAGCCACTATGCCCAGCCGTGATTATTTTTATGCTTATAAACTACCGTACAACTTAAACTCACATTATATTTTGTTGTGCATTTTTGCTATAGCTGTGATATCCCCCTTATGATACTTTAGACCTTTTTTAGGCCTTTTTTGCCCCAGAGATTAGGGCCTATAGATCACAAGTATGTGTATATATGCACAAGTAATTTGGTGGTATGTAAATTTATTCAACAAATATTAAATACATATGTGCAAGGCACTGTCATGTTGCATTTTTATTTATTTATTTATTTTTTGAGACAGAGTTTTGCTCTTGTCACCCAGGCTGGAGTGCAATGGTGTGATCTCGACTCACTGCAACCTCTGCCTCCCAGGTTCAAGTGATTCTCTTGCTTCAGCCTCCCAAGTAGCTGGGATTATAGGTGCCCTGCACCACACCCGGCTAATTTTATTTTCTTTTTTCTTTTTTTTTTTCAGTAGAAATGTGGCTTCACCATGTTGGCAAGGCTGGTCTCATGTCACATTTAGTATAGAGGGTTTTAGGACCTCCTATTTCAAACTGGCTTTAGGATATGTTAAATTATTATTATTTTTTTAAATTCACAGTTTATTTAGATGGAAATAAACTAAACAAAATTGACTTTCTTCACCAAAAATAACAGCAATATTTTCCATATTATTTCTAGATAAACCACAAAACAAAATATGGAATGCTTCACAAATTTGCATGTCTTTTTTGTGCAGAGGCCATTCTAATTTTCTCTGTATTGTTCTAACTTTAGTATATGTGCTGCTAAAGTGAGCACCATTTTTTTTTTGAATGGCTGATTTACTTTCTTCAAGAATAATTAGTTTACATTAATTGTAAAATTGTTGTAAGCCTGGACAGCATAACGAGACTCTGTCTCTACAAAAAAAATTATTTATTCTCATTTATTCTTTTATTTGAGATGGAGTCTTGTTCTACTGCCCAGGCTGGAGTGCAGCAGTGCAATCTCAGCTCACTGCAACCTCTGCTTCCCAGGTTCAAGTGATTCTCCTGCCTTAGCCTCCTGAGTAGCTGAGATTACAGGTGTACTCTACTTTGCCCAGCTAATTTTTGTATTTTTAGTAGAGATGGGCTTTCACCATGTTGACCAGGCTGGTCTTGAACTCCTGACCTCAGGTGATCTGCCCACATTGGCCTCCCAAAGTGATGAGATTACAGGTGTGATCCACCATGCCTGGCCATCTACAAAAAATTTAAAAATTAGCCAGACATAGTGGCATGTGTCTATAACCCTAGCTACTTGGGAGGCTGAGGTGGGAGGATCACTTGAGCCACGGAGTTTGAGGCTGCAGTGATCACACCACTGCATTCAAGCCTGGGTGACAGACCAAGACCTTGTCTCAAAAAAAAAAAAAAAGGCTGTTTTTTGTATTTTTTGAGAAAGATCCCTGAGCGCAACATGGAGGGGAAGATGACCTGGTTGCCGACTCTTGGCTAAGCCGGCATTAAATCCAAAAGTGGTGGAGTTTCTATTTCAGAATACTTTTACTGAGGAAAAGAAGAAAATGTTTTGAATTTTGCTTTTTAAAGGGATCTCAAGAAAGCAGAGTTGCATCTGTCTACAGAAAGGGCCAAAGTTGATCATCGTCGTCAGAACATGGACTTTCTAAAAGCAAAGTCAGAGGAATTCAGATTTAGAATCAAGGCTGCAGAGGTTTGTATGAAGGACTGAATATAGGTAGCTCGCCTTATTTTTTACTATCATCCTCACAGCTAGGCATTGTTATTCCCTTTTACAGATGAGAGGACTACAGAGAAGTTGGCAACTTACCCAAGATTACATAGCTATTACACTAAGCAGATCTAGATTCAAACCCAGGTGTTCAGGCTCTGAAACTCAGGCCTTAGACACTGCACCCATCTTGTCACAAATTGTGAGTGTGGAAAGGATTCACATATAACATACAAATGCTTAGATACATGTACAGTTTTTCACTTATAAATTGTAGCTCCTCTTTACTGTGTTATATGTTAAAAATATTTGATGGTGGTCACTTTCTAAATAATTTTTTAACTGAACTCCTTTTTTTTGGTAATTGTAGGAGAAACTCTCAGCCAGAGGCATGGATGCTTCTCTGTCTCATCAGTCCCTGGTAGCACTGTCAGAGGTGAGCTTATTTTAACCTAATTTAACTTTCTTTAAAATATTACTCCACAATCTGCTTTTTCATTTGTTTCTTTTTATAGGGCCTTTATTCACTGTGGACATGATGTCTTTTCCTTTACCTTTGTATTTTATATTCACTGGTATTTATACCTTTTATTAGAGACCTTTTATTCCTTGTTTAGCTGTATATGCCCTCACATTTGCATGGTTTCCTTTTTATTAAAAGCTAGAAACTCACCAGGCGC